CAGAGCACGGCGTCTCGAAGTTGCCTCAGCGCTGCGTTTTAACACTCCTGACCTTAAGCGAAATCCAACCCCCTCGACCTCCCAGAGTGCTCGGATGACAGGCGTGAGCCCCTGGGGCCCGCGCCTTTTCTATAATTTTAGCCTGTCCAATTAATTCGTGTCCATTGGAGTAGAGACAGGAATCGTCGCTCGGGGTTGCTCAGGCTTTGGTCTTCCAACTCCTGATCGTCGTCGAGCCAGATCGCTTCCCGCCGCGCGCGGCAGAGGGCTGGCGGACGACAGGCGTGAGCCGCCGGGCGCCCGGCGGTCGAGCGCTTTCTGTATCACCCACAACGTGGCTGTCCAAGCCTGGGCCCGGGCGCGCGCGCGCGCGCGCGCCGCGCGCCGCGCGCGGCCCGCGTGGCTGTGTGCGGCAGTGTACGTGCGCCGTTTTCTCTTCCACACGCTGTCCTTTGCCCCAGGACTGAGCTGGTAGAGAGACGGGAATCAGCCGCGCGGAAGAAACGCGTTTCTTTTGATGCCTCCAGAGACCCGTCCCAGCACGCGGTGGTCCTGAGTCCCACGGCGGGGCCGCCTCGCGCCTCTGGCGGCCAGGGTAGCTGCGCACTCTGCGCCCAGCATCCCGGGAAGGTGTGTGTTGCTCTGCAGGCGGTGGTCTGTGTCGCAGACTAGGAAGAAAGGGTCTTTGTGGGACCAGCTTTTTTTTTTTTTCTTTTTGAGACAGAGTCTCACTCTGTTGCCCCGGGCTAGAGGAGTGCCGTGGCCGTCAGCCCTCGCTCACCAGCCAACTCAGGACTCCTGGGCCTCGAGCGATCCTCCTGCCTCAGCCTCCTCCCGAGTAGCTGGGACTACAGGCATGCGCCACCACGCCCGGTTGATTTTTTTTATATATATCGTGTGGGACCCGCTTTGAGGATATTCTTCCTCTTGTGCGTAGCTCTTTGTCCTTTGAGACTTTGTCAGACCGCTCCCACCCCCCACCGGCCCCATCCCCACCTCAAAAACTATGAACACTTGGCGGGAGGCAGGGCGTGGGCAATATACATAACCGTAACATCTGTACCCCCGTCATATGCTGAAATTTAAAAAGAAAAGGAAAAAAAAATTTTTAAACTTGAACCGCGCCGGCGGGTGGCTCACGCCTGTCATCCCACTCGAGGGGCCGATGGGCGAGGATCCTCGATCAGGTTTCGAGACCAGCCTGAGCAAGAGCGAGACCCTTGTCTCTACTAAAAGAAAAACAGAAAGAAATTAGCTGAAAAACTAAAAATATAGAGAAAAAATTAGCCAGGCGTGGTGGCGTGTGCCTGTAGTCCCAGCTACTACTCGGGAGGAGGCTGAGGCAGGAGGATCGCTTGATCCAGGAGTTGGAGGTTGTTGTGAGCGAGGCTGATGCTATGGCACTCACTCTAGCCTGGGCAACAAAGTGAGTCTAAAAAAAATTTTTTTTTAAATATTAGATTCCAGAAGGGCTATCTTAAAGAATAGAGGGATGATCATTATTTTTCTAGAATTAGGAATAAGCAGTGGTTGTTACAGAGGCAGATTTTATTCAATATGATTAAAAACTTTAAGAAAAAAACTAGCACTGTCTACAGTGAAATCACCATGTTTCCCTGAAAATAAGCCCTACGAATACATAAGCCCCAGAGGATGTCTAGCATGTGCACAATAGAAGCCTACCCCGAAAATCAGCCTGATTGATGCGGCGTGGCTAGAAAATCAGCTAGTGGTGGGCGCTATTAATCAGCCCTAGTGGTGTGTGCTATGACAAATCAGCGCCTGGTGATGGCTGGCTTGAATCAGCCCTGTGGTGGACGGCGGGCCGCGCAGCGCATCTGCACAACCCATGCGTGTCGTCGCAGGAGGGAAGAACACGAGCAGCCCTCTCGATCCGCCCCGTGATAGCTCTAGTGCTCGACAGGGATCGGGGCGTGCTCTAAAGGAAACGAGTCGCAAGACATTCAGGATGGGATTTCGGGGTTGGAGAGTGAGGATGATGTTCCAGAAGAAGACGACCTCACTGTATTTGAATCAATTAGATGGTTGTACTGTGCTTAAAAAATATATATAACACATCCCCTGAAAATCAGCCCTAGGGTGTCTTCTTGAGGAAGAATAAATGGAAGACCCTGTCTTGTTTTCGGGGAGACCTGGTAGCTACCTTGTGAAACAGTGAGCCTCCCACCTTGAAAACTGTCGAGGGACAAGCTAATCACCTTTTTTGAGGGTGGCGTAAAGGAAACCATATAGTAGGGGGACGACGGTTGGATCAATTAGTTTATAATTGAGCCCCACGCTTCTCATCTTCTGTGCATGTTGAAATCCAGGGAAGGGAGGCGCTGCCCAAATGAAAAGCATCACTCTGGGAGGCCGAGGCGGGAGGATCGCTTGAGGTCAGGAGTTGGAAACCAACCTGAGCAAGAGCGAGACCCCGTCTCTACTATAAATAGAAAGAAACTAATTGGCCAACTAACATATATATAGAAAAAACGAGCCGGGCGTGGTGGCGCATGCCTGTAGTCCCAGCTACTTGGGAGGAGGCTGAGGCAGGAGGATCGCTTGAGCCCAGGAGTCTGAGGTTGCTGTGAGCGAGGCTGACGCCACGGCACTCACTCTAGCCTGGGCGACAGAGTGGAGACTGTGTCTCAAAAAAATAAAAATAAAAAATAAATAAATGAAAAGCATGGTTCCCAGGAGCGATCGTCTTTTGCGATCTGTTGTTTCCCTGGCAGGCGACAGGTTCACCTACGAGGACGTGAAGACAAACGGGCTGCGGTACCAGCACGACGGCTCCCCGGCCCGGGAGGACGCCTTGGAGATCTCCGTGGGGGACGGTGCCACGGCGACCTCGGTGGACGTGAGAGTGGAGGTGTTGCCTCGGGAGACACGGGGGCCCCGGCTGGCCTCGGGCTCCTCTCTGAGCCTCACCGTTGGCAGCAAACGCTCGGCCGCAATCACCCGGTCTCACCTGGCCTACGAGGTGAGTCCTTTTTCTTTTTCTTTTTCTTTTTCTTTCTGTTAGTGAGACAGAATCTCAACTCTGTCGCTGGGCTAGAGGTGAGTGCCGTTGGCGTCAGCCTCGCTCACAAGCACTCCAACCCAGAAACAAACAAAGACTCGACCTCCTGGCTCAGCGATCCTCCTGCCTCAGCTCCTCCGCAGTATTAGCTGGGACTACAGGCATAGCGCCACAAGCCGAAAAAAAACCACACGCCGGCTCATTTTTTCTATATATGTAAATTAGTTGGCACTTAATCCTTCTTCATCTAATTTATTAGTAAGAGACAAAACAGAGGTCATACGCTCTGCTCAGGCTGGCTCTCGAAGTCTGACAAATCAAAGCGACTCCTCCCCACCTCCAAGAGCCTCCCCAGAAGTGCTGGGATGACAGGTGTGAGCCACCGGGGCCAGCCTGTGGTGAGTCCTGACTTTGTTCTTCCTGTCTCCACCGCACCTGCGGGCGGGGTGGCCACGGAGCAGCGCCCTGGCCGAGCGTGCCCCGTGGCAGGTGTGTGGCCACGCAAGAAACCTTTGCCTCAACGTCCCCGAGGCTCTGTTGTAGGAGTGGTAACTGTGTCATCCTGGATTCTCCCGGTGCCTGGTGAGCAGGCAGAAAACTGAGCGAAACTTCGGTCAAAACACAATGAGTGTGTGGAGGACGGGCGGTTCTCAACCAGAAACGGTGTCAGAAAAGCGCAAGTGGGCCGGGCGCGGTGGCTCACGCCTGTCATCCCAGCACTCTGGGAGGG